TATTGTATTTAGAAATTAAAAAGAAAAAGACAAAAGAAAAATAACATGTAAAACCCCAAGATGAACTATTATAAAATAAACGTGGAGGTCATTCATGATAATGGTAAACGTTCACCAGAAACTAAAAAGCATGATAAACAATGTTAACCAGGCCGTAATATTACCATTTTTAGATTTGTTTGCATCACTCTTTCCTAATTTAGTTTAATAATTGTTTAATACAAATTTACAATTTAAATCATTTAGTTGATATCTATTTATTAATCAAAACTTTTTTTTTTTTTTTTTAGTAATTTTCAAGAATAGAAAAATCTTAACCCCGTCATTTCACCAACCACCGCCATCATTCAGCGACGGATCCACTTTATAATGAGTGCGGGCTGGTGACCCCACTCAAACATTTTTTTCTTGTTAATTTGGTTTATTTTTTTTCTTTGATCACTTTGTATTTATATTAATATTTTTTATATTTTATTGTATTCATTTATTTTTTTCTTATTTTATATTATATTATTTTAATTTACTCCCTCTAAAATTAATCTCTAAGTTTGTCTGGTCCTTCATGTATAACATTGCATAATATGACCAACTAATTATTATTGATGGACAACATTAACAAAATAATATAATAATACCATACATACAAAGAATTCTATTTCTATACAAAATGATATGACAGAAAATGAATAAAAGATAATTATTTCATTCATTTTCTATCACATCACTTTATATAAAAATCTTTGTACGTATAGTATTGTTATAATAATATAGCGAAGATAATTTGGTGCAAATAACAATTATGAAAATTTATAAGTCCATCATAATATTTTCATTTAATTGTTTTATTATTATTTTTGAAAAGTTGTCACATTTTGAGTATGATGCTATAATAATTTCATTATAAATGTCATACATGTGCCTATATATATATATGAATTAATTCTTCTATATGATTTTGTTATTATTTCCTTAGAATACGATTGAAGAATTTTTGTTATAAAATTGAGTGAAGAATATATAAAGCAATATTAAAATTGTAGCATATGTAACAAGTGCGTAAACTCGAGTAAAAGAAATTGAAAAAGAAAAATAAAAACAATATAATTGCCTCTCTTAGTACCAAGCTAGCCTTGCTTTTGCCGCCCACAAATGACAAATATCACAAATTTATTTTTAAAAAACGAGAGGTACAATAATTGAGTTTCTAGAAAGATGGAGAAATTTAAAGGCGGCTGGGGTCCCAGTCCCACTATTAACAATTTGTGGAACCTTAATACTGTATATGGGATTTAAAATGATAAAACATTTGTCAAAGACAAGATACATAACAAAACAAAAAAAATGCTATAATGGCAGGTGAATCATCACTATATAAGCTTCATTATTCCTCTCTATATCGGAGTCTCATTCATAAGGTTTCCCATTAATCTCTATGAATAAAGAACTCCCAAAATTTCAAGAGTTCCAAGCCATTGGAATTTGTCAATATTATGGCCAATCTTTTGCCTCAATTGGCCTACGTTTATGCCTTGCTATTGTGCTTATTGTTAGCAACTAGTCTAGTTGCCCACATAACCCATACCTTCAAAAAAATAAAAACAATAAGTCGTCTCCACTGCCACGGTCGTGGCCACCACCATCACCTCCACTTCCACCATGTCCTTTACCTCCATCAACAACACCTTATCCTCCACCACCACCACCACCACCACCACCACCACCACCACCGTCAACTTCATCTCCTCCTTCCTAGCATGAAAAATCACCATTGCAACCCTATTGCTAACGAAGTTACTGCTTCCATGTACATGGAGCGTGTTAATTAATGTAAGCGTTTATTTTTGTATTTTCTCTTTGATTTGTTCAAATTTTTCTTTGTTTTTAAGTAAATTTCGTTAACACGTTCTTTATTTTATTTTATTGGAGGTGATAAGATAGTAGAAAATAACAGCTGGATTATCCGGATGACTTCAAAGGCCTTGCATACTTTCTTAAATGTATTGTAAAATGGAGGCATGCCATGCATGAGCCAGCGTTATGGATAAATAAAAATGAAAATAAAGAATAAACTTCACCATATAGTGTGCTTATTTTTCTTATTATTATTGTTTTTTTAAGGTTGACATTCTTGACAAAAGTTGGAGGAAATTAACTTGAAATTTAAGTTAAGAATTCAAAGATAATTTAATTATAATATTTAGAAAATAGTTATAAAGTCTAGTTCAAATCCTATACTATTTTGTTAGAACTCAAGCTAAACAGAGAGCTCCATACAAAGGATCAGCCTGATAGGTGGGAGCAGGGGCGGATGCTACTTTAGTTGAGCTTGGGCCTCAAATTTTAAAAAAATAAAATTAATATATACAATTTTAGGATTTTAGCACACTCTAACAAAAAATATTAATTATAATTAGTTTTTATTTTGGCCCACACTAACAGAAATTTCTAGATCTACCACTAGGTGGGAGAGTCCTTAAGCTTGAGTACTACACTTGATGGGTGTGAAATCTCGATGTGAGATCCTAACATTGCACCCTCCTTCAAGAGTCTATATCTACAGCGACTTTTACTCTATCAACACTGACGTCGGCTTTCACTCTATCAACACTGATATCGGCTTTCACTCTATCAACACTAACCCAATGATAACATTTTCTCTCTTTAAATAGTTTTACTCACCTATCAATTATTCGATGCAGCACTGCATTGTATGTAAGTAGCTTTTTAATTATAATATTTTAAAAAAAAAGTTATAGAGTCTAGTTCGAATCCTGATACTATTTCAAAAGATTTACAAATGATACTATGCATACCCATTTTGCTAACAACAAATAGACCATTAAAATCTTAGAAATGACTTTTCATAAACGTTCAAGAAAATATTTGTGTTTTCATGACTAAATTACACATAACGTAAGCATTAATCTATCACTTTCATATTATGATAATAAATAATGGTGGATCCACATGGAAAATAGGTGTCGATAATAGTTTTCGGGTTCACGTAATTTATTTCAAATCCAATTGGATGATGGCCAATAGATTTATCCCGCACTCAATATGTAAAAATAAAATACATTCTCTGTAAATTAAACACTGAGAATTGAAATGTATTAAATCTCTGTGAATTATGATGTAATAAGTCATGGAATCCGGCATAGTTTGATAGAGTTACGACAATTTTTTTTTTTTTTTTTAACGGTTAAATAAGTAATTTTTTAAGGCAGTAATATTATACAATTTAATGTTTATCTTTTCAATAGAAAGAAGGACATTTTCCTACCAAGGTTTGGAGAAACGACATTTTCACACCCACCAAGTTTCAAAATGACATTTTCCCATCCTTCGTCAGGTTCTGTTAATATTTGATTGAAAAGACGAAAATACATTTAAATAATTTATTTCTTAATTAGTTTATTATAAATTAAAATTTAATTAAATTAAAGTGTTTACTCGATTATTTATTAGTTCAAGTGTAAAGATATATTTTTCCCTTTGTTTATTTAATTAATTAAAAATATTAATTTTTTATGTTAATTAATAAAAATAAAAAACATCATAAATTTAGTAAATTATTGAATAATAGTGCTGAGATACTGATGACATTATAAATAATTTTTTTTTTTTTTAACGGTCAAATATGTAAGGCTATTTTCGTATTTTTAGTAAAATATTAACATAAAACATAAAAAAATCTAATGAAGGGTGGGAAAGTGTCATTTTGAAACTTGAAGGGTGGGAAAATATCGCTTCGCCAAACCTTGGGTGGGAAGATGTCGTTCTCCCTTTTCAATACATAAATTAGAAACAATCAAAATTGTATAAAAAAAATAAAAAATAAAAAATAAAAAAAAACCTTAATTTCTTGGATAAAATGTTTTCATTAATATGTTCTTAAAATCGTGTTTCTTGGAAACCATAGCAAAACCTATTAAAATGAGTTGAACAAAATATCTTAACACGAGAAACTAAATTAAAACCAAAACAAACCCAAAATAAACGGATACATTTGAATGAACCATTCTACTATAATTTATAAAATTTAATTATTAAAACTATAGATATAGCAATTTAAACTGATAATAAATATATAATGTAGACATTCTAAAAATGTTTTGCATGCTGATCAAAGTTAAGTATCAAGACGTTAACTTACAAAATTTAAAAATCAAAATTAGTGTTTAGTCGCTCAATGTTGGTCCCTAAATAATTATTCACAGGTAAACTTAACCCACCCTAATTTAAATTAACCAAACGCTAGTTAGTCTTAATCCTATTGTTGTTAATTGAAATTAATAATATTAATTAAACTAAATTCGCTAGTTAAAGAAACTTTTTCATCTTTAATAAAAGTGAGGCAAAATGGTATTTTCACAAAAAATTAAAATTCAATGTAACAGAAGTTAAACGATGTAAATCCCAATAGGTTGGTCTGACGGTTAGAGATGTTTGCTCCATTTCTTAAGTTCTTAGGTTCAATCATTGGGTTCATCAACCACAATAACATTATGGTGTATTTAGTCCTTTGGACTCGTAAGGTGTTCAATAAATTTCAAGAATTAGTTGAGGTACATACAAGGTGACACATACACTCGGGTTACCAAAAAAAAAACCTAACGTTTTAATTTTTTATCATTTCTAGCCTAATTATCATAAAATTAAGTATTTAGCAAAACCTCAAGGGCATGTTTTGAAAATTTCCCACATATATATATATATATATATTAATCGAAAAAAAAATAAAAACCTTTCGCATCCTCTCAAAGAGGCCGAAAGATCTTGCAGGCGGAAAATATGTCTCCACTTTCTGTTTCCCAAAAAAACAAAAAAAAGGCCAAAGCCATTAGACAAAGATAGAGCACAATCACAAAATTGCCTTTTCCACTTCCTGCTGCATGCTGACAGTGGAAACAACAGAACAATACGAATAAGAAGAGTTAAAAAATAAAAAGGCGCAACTTTCCATAATTCTTCATTTAATAATTAACTTTAATCAGAAAGAGATCAACTTCCCATGTCTTCTGCCTTTTGCCTTCTCCATGTCTTATTAAATTTTCTCCTTCGAAAAGCGCGAAACACAGAGCGAGAATGGAATGTTCCTCATGGAAGATGATAGAGCAGGCAAAGGAAGAGTTGCAAATACTCGAAACCCTTCACCCAAATCGCTTTGACTACCTCAAGTTGGAGCTCAAATCCTTCATCTTCTTCCTCGAATCCCAACACAACAACAACGATAACAACAACGAAAACAACAATTTGATCTACTATCCCTCTTCTTCAACTGCTACAACGCAAGGTCAATTTTTTTTTTTTTTTTTCCCTCCTTGGTGTTGTGTATTTTAAAGCTTTATTAGTGTTCATTTATTTATTGATGTTTTTATGTATATGGCAGCATCAACGAATAACAGGAAGAGAAAGAAAGTTGGTATTGGAATGGGAAGCTGCAGAAATGAAGAAATGAAGAATAAGTTTCAAAGGGTTTTAGGGGAGTTCAAGAGAAGGGATAGGATTGATTTGGTTCTTGAGAAAGCTCAATCTTGTCTCCGGAAAATTCAGGAACTGAAATCTAGTTTATGTTGAAGCTCCGACAATTTAGAAAATGAAGGAAAAAAAATTGTAAATTTTGCCGATGCTTGCCTTGGTCGTCTTTTTTTCTTTTTTTTTTCTCCTTTTTTGGTTTCATTCGGTTTTTATGGCTGATTATCCTTCTTCTGCAAATATCTTTTTTGGTTTAATAAAGATATGGAACATTCTTCAAAGCGCCACCAGCTAATAACCCTGTGTAAATCACTTTTTTTTTTTAAATCTATAATAGTAGGAAACAGAAGGGCTAGGATGATTGCTGATTATAATCATAAATCTTAGACTCGAGGGACCAGTTCCTTTTTAGGATATGTTTGGATTAGGGGTGTTCAAAAGAACCGGTTGGAACCAGAATCGGCGGGTATCCTGGGTTTGGTTCCGGTTCCTATCCAGAATCAGTCGTCAATGGGTAGGCTCCGGTTCCAAATTTTTGGAACCGTTACTGTGCTGTTTCGGTTCCGATTCCTATAGTTAGGAACCAGAACCGGAACCAGGAACCAAGACTAATATAAAATAGAATTAAAGATTAGGGGAGTTAATATAAATTTTTGTAGAAAAAGTAATGTGAATACATTTATATTTATATTTCATAACATTTAAAGTAAGTTGGTTTGACTTTTGAGAATCTACCTTTACAAAGTAATGGAGTTTGTAATTTTGAATACATTTATATTTATATTTCATAACATTTAAAGTAAGTTAATTTGACTTTTGAGAATCTACCTTTACAAAGTAATGGAGTTTGTAATTTTGAATTTATAATTTGTAATTTTATTTTTGTTAACAAGTGCCAGGTGGGGGGTATTTGTAAGTTTTTAAAGGTTTTTTTGCCATTTTAAAAACTTTTGGGGGGTCATGTAATTTTACAGGGTACCCAGAATCGGAATCGGAACCGTTGTTACAGGTTCTGGTTCCGGAACCGTTGTTACAGGTTCTGGTTCTGGGTACCTAGGAACCGGAACCGTCGGTTCCGGTTCTAGTTCCAAATTTCAAGGAACCGTCGGTTCCGGTTCCGGTTCCGGTTCCTTTTCCTTCAAAAAGTATAGGGTACCCGGAACCGAACACCCCTAGTTTGGATGACGGCGATCCCTATAGAAGGTAAATCTCTATCTTATATTATTTAGGATTTGGATCGGGATCATATTAAGCCAACGGGCTTAGTTTATTTTGCTAGATTTCATTATTTGGATTGTAAATAATAAAATATTATAAGTATCTTTTATTGTAAATAGTATTTATAGTCGGTAATGTAGAAGGTTCTGATACCCTCCATCTAAGGTGTTATTAAAAGGTTATCATGTAATCTAATTTTTATATCTATTTTGCCTTTAATTAAATATCATTCTAGATATAATTGTTCTCAAATGTCTATCAAATAATCATTACCCTAGCCTTCTTACATTTGAGAATTTAGCTAAAACACCACAGTCACAAAAAAGTTTAAAAGTTAACAAAATATCTCTAATCACCCAAAACTAGGGATGTATACGAGTCGAGCCAAGTAGAGTATCTCGGTACTCAAGCTCGGCTCGTAATGAATAGTAACAAGCTCGAGCTCGAGTCGAGCTTCAATATTCGTGTTCGAGCTCGAGCTTAATCGAGCTCAGTACTAAAATACTGTATTTTCTCTTTCTCCCCTCATTTTCTCTTTCTTCTTTTCACCTACTATCATCTCATTTTTATTTTTTTTTCTTTCTCCCCTCATTTTCTATTTCTTCTTTTCACCTATCACCTCATTTTGTCACCTCATCTTTTTTTTTTCTCTCTTTCTTCCCGTCCTCTTCTCTTTTCTTACTTCTTCAGATCTTCTCCTTCGTCTTTTTTTTTTTTTTTTTTTTCTTTCTCCCCATCCTCTTCTCTTTCTTCTTTACTTCTTCCATATTCTCTTCTCTATTCTCACCTTCTCTTGTCTTTCTTCTTCTGCTCCTTCAGATTTTCTCCTTCATTATTTTTCTTTCACATTCTAAGCTTGAATGGAATCGAGGATGAATGAAGGTGAAAGAGAAGATGAATGAAGTTGGATTTTTGAAGCCGAAAGAAAAAATCCCAAATGGGTTTTGAGTTTTTGTCTGTGAATGGGTCATGGGTGTTGTTCGTAATTTTGACAACCTAAAAATAAAACTTTTGAAATCTTACAAATTGGCCCCGAAGCTCTTTACTGTTCACGAGCTGCTCGAGCTCGAGCTCGAGCTTGACTGGTTTCGAGTCAAACTCGAGCTTATAACGAGCCGAGCTCGAGTAGCTCGCTAGCTACTCGTCTCGTGCCTCATCCTTACCCAAGACCACCGTTGGTCGTCGACGTCAGTTGTCATAATGGCGCATGATTGATGGGATCTTGCTGGTCGTGCGCCGGTAAGGCCGTTTTCGGTAATGTATCTGTGATTGATGAATGAAAACGGCCAGATCAGACCGTTTTTATGGCTATATCATGACCAAAGATTTGGCCTTTTCACGGCCATGGAATTGTGACCCATGGTTGGAAATGGCTTTGCTGGCGCACGACCGGCAATATACTAGCAGTCGTGCGCCATTTCGTTGACTACTGGTGGTAGCTGGCGGTGGTGGCTAGCTACTGACAGTGGCTTGGGGTGGGTAGGGGTGATTTTGCTACAAATTAAAGTTTTATATGGTTTGGGTGTTTTAGCAAAATTTCAAATGTAGGGGGTTAAAGAAATGATTCAAAAAATAATAATAAAAATAATATTATATTAATATTTAAAAAGAAGGGTAATTTAGTAATCTATATAACATACTTGCCCATTTATCCTTCCAACCAAACATGTAAATATAACATACTAAACAATTCATTCGAACCAACCAAACTCATTTCCCAAAACATTCTCATTAATCTTCAAGGTGATCTATTTTTCCATTAATGTAACATCCCCCTATAATAAAACATTATATGATCCAAACTTACCCTTAGATTATCAAGTTTGGTTGTCAATTAATATAACGTTCTGGTACTCTTCCAAAACCAATAGTAATTACTATTAGTTATATAGGTGGTAATCTGATTATCTCTATTTTCTTAGGTATTTTAAGATTATATGGTAACCTTAATTTTGTTACAATTTTACTCTTAACTATTAAATTTTTTGGACAATAATGCCCTTATTTTGAAATTAATTTACATGAACCTACCATTACAACTTTACCCCTAATTAATTAAGTTTTTGGACAACAGTGCCTTTATATTTAAAACAAATTGTTGACCACCTAGGACCATCGCCGTTCGCTAGACACCATCACTGCCCGTTGGCCAACCGCCGACAAGTACTGCCCGAGGTCGCTAGAATGGCGCATGACTGGTCAAATCTGATCGATCTGGCCATAGATCTAGTAGAAACAGCTAGATCCGTAACGTTGTGCGCCGAAATAGATTTGGTCGAAAACGGCCATATTGGCACACGACTAACTAGATCCAACGGTTGTACATCATTACGGAAACTGTTGGCAACAACTAGCAATGGTGGCCGATGGCCGACAGTGGCTTGGGGTGGGTGGGAGTAATTTTGTTAGAAATTAAACCTTTATATGGCTGGGTGTTTTAGCAAAATCTCACATGTAGGAGGTTAAAAGGAATGATTCAAAAAATAATATTATATTAATATTTAAAAATGTGAGCAATTTAGTAATCTATATAACATATACACAAATTTATTCCTCCCAACCAAACATATAAGTATAATATACCCACTAATTTATTTCAACCTAATTAAACACATTTCCCTAAATATTCTCAATAATCTTCTAGGTAATCTATCTTTTAATTTAATATAACATTCACAGTAATATAACATTCCCTGAACCAAATGCACCCTTAGGAAAAAGTGGGATTTTGTAAAGAGTAAACGACATGTTCCCACCCAAGTTTAGGAAAATGGCAACTTCTTACCTCCGGTTTCATAAATTCCAGATTCTCACTCTTAAAGTAACATTGTTAGTGACTGTTGGATTCTATTCCAGATTCCCACCATTAAAGTAATATTATTAGTGAATGTTGAATTCTGACACAGATGCAGAGGGTGTTATTACCAAATTGTCCTTTCATCATCATCATCTTCTTTTTTATTTCCCCTCATCTACTATTATCAAAGTCGCTCTTCTTCTTCATTGTTGTAGGCCTTTTTGTTGCCTCCTAACCGGTTTTATTCACCAATCACAGTAGGAATTCTTCCCAAACTTTGATTGCACCTTCCTCAGCCTCATTTAACCAAAAATCTGATATGATTCTGCCATTTTCTGCCACCCACTCCCTCATCAGCGACTATCGATCTCAAGCCAAATCGACCTAATTCTAGTACCATTGGTACCCCCGAGCCCACCATCTTTAAGCCTTTGTTCCTTGCAACTAAACCTCCAACCTTGTTAACCTTTTCAACCCACCATCATCGGTCACCACCCTCCCATTTGTGTTTATGAACATTCCCCTTTTCTAGCTGATTCCATCGTTGGAAACCTTCCTTGAGACCACCAATGTGTTCATCGGCCAACCCCCACCATCCTCGACCACGGTAGCTCACCGCTCACTGGCCACCATCCCACTTAGGGTTTCACGATTTTGCTAATTTGTGGGTTAAACTGCTAGTCCATTTGTTGTTAATTGGTGTTGGTGTTGATTCATTTTGGAAGTGTGTTGATTGTTTGATTGATTTGCTGTGATTTTGAGTTGTAATTGGTTTTTCTGGCCACCACCACAACTGCTTTCCCCCAACCCTCCACCTTGCCCCCAATTGGTTTTTAAATTGTCCCAAACAAAATCCCCCTCAATCTTCACCCAAACGCGTGTGGTATCCCAAAAGTTTGCACGGTCTTCCCTGCTTGGGAGCTAGTTGTGGCATGAGGAAGAGGGTTGGTTGCAGCACGATAAAGAGGGCTAGTTGCAGTGCGTTAAAGAGGGATGGTTGCAGCTCGGACAGATTGGGAACGACGAGGAGAATGGTTGAGAGGTGAATCAGAGCAAGGGATCTACGATTTGATGTTGGAGATGGCACCAAGGGCCAACAACGGTGCTGATTGGAGTCCCAAAGTTGAGAGAGTTGTTTTTGCAGACATTTAAAATATAGTAAATGATTATTTTAGCATTTAATTGTTAAAAGAAACGAAACAGTGTTAATATGAGGGTAGAAATCTAGAATTTATGAAGCCAAAGGTGGGAACTTACCATTTTGCTAAATCTTGGGTGGGAACATGTCGTTTACTCTATTGTAAAATATTAATTACGAAAGATGATATTCATGAGCATTAATAATTATTGATTAGTTTTTGAGGTGCTTGATTAAGTTACTAGCATTAAGATTAGTAATTTGAGAATGTTACTGGTAGCATTAGAAAAAATTTTCCCTAGGTGAAAGTATTTTTTAATAATTACCTTCCTACGATAGAGGTTTAAAAAAAAAAAAAAAAAGGAAACCCAAATCGGAGAACTTCTTTAAAAAAAAAAACCTGTTCAGTTTTAGTACACAAATTTGGTTGAATCAGTTTTTCGGTTTGGCTACCAGTTCATCCTAAATTGAAAACCAGTTTTCTTAAAAATTCCTACATCTAAAATATGCGGTTCTAAACTTTTGATTTATCTAAAGTCTAAAGTAGGTCCAAGAGTGGTGATTGCCTCTCTGTTGCCCTTGGCTCTCGATCTCCCTTTGTGTGACTAGTTTCTTCACACAACTGCCATCGCAACAGTTCAGGAGCACGAAGCCTATGTGCGCGATCTCTTGCGCCAATCCTTGCTTCCCCTGCTGCTCCATCGTATTACTCGCCTCAGATGCCGCCGAGCAGCCCCATCATGCGCTTGTTCTTGCAACCCAGCCTACGATCTCGCGGCCTTGACCATCTCTCTTGTTCCTAAGACAGGTCATCAGTTCGTTTATGTTTTGGGTTTGATTGGTGCTTGTACGCTGTGGTTTGTGGTGTCTTGCGGCAGCCTGGCCGCCCGTGGTGAAGTATGGAAGATTGTGGCAGCTAGGGTCTCTCTATCGTAGGGGGTGTGTTTGATGGATCTCAAACTTGCAGGGAGTGTTAGGGAGTTTCTCAGGGGTATGTTTGTTAAGTTTCAAATTTGCTGGATGTACCCGTTTTCAAAATTGTTGTAAAACCGGTTGGAAATCGATTAACCCGATTATTAGTTCAGTTAAAACCGATTGGACCTTTTAAATGGTTAGGTTCCGATTCGAAAATTTCCCTGAACTGGATTTCCAATTCGGTTCAAAAACCAACCGGTTCGGACCGGTTAATCGTTTTAAACACCCCTATAATCCTACCCACCCAACTTTCACAAATTTCTAGTAAGTCCGTATTGTTTTCTCATATGCATAAAACATTATAAAAAAAGGAAAAAATGGAAATTCGAAGACCTCTTTTTCCTTTCCTTGTTCAATATTATACTAAAAATTAGACAACTTGATACCATGTGATTTTGTTATATTGTCCCAACTAACATAAAATATATATGTGTATTCTGATAAAATTTTTGACATAAATTTAATTGTTAGTTTTATATACGCATTAAAATGGTTGAAATTGTATAGATGCACGATGTAGAATATATACTAACTTCGTCATATTTATAAGATTTTCTATTTTTAAATTGTTTTCTATTTTAATTAACAGTGTTAATTTGCATAAACAACTTAATTCATTCGTTGGACTTCTAGCTTGTAGCATATTTCAATATTTTTTATTCTCTCTACGTAGACATTAGTGTATTGGGTACTGGGTAGCAGTGTTCTGAAGACCAGACCGGACAGACCGGTCGAACTAGTTGGACCGGGAACCGGTAGCCTCTCTAGTTCGGTTTAGGTTCTAGGGGGTTTTGTTATATTTTAAACCTATAGGGGCTAAATGTAATTTTCTAGGGGTGATTTACAGTATTTCAAAACCTTAGGGACGAATTGAGTTTTTTGGGTACTTTTTGAAATAAATTAAATTTTTAGGGACTACATGCAATTTTTATGGGCATTTTTGCAATATGATGCAATTTTTAGGGACTAAACAGAACATTGTAATTTTTTATACGCATTTTTGTATATACTAAATTGCAATTTTTTATGGGCATTTTTGCTAAGGGACTAATTTATAAATTTTTTTTTTTAAATTTGGTTGTTGATGTCATCGGTCCGATTGGTTGGACCAGTTAAACTGTGAATGGGCCCTTGACCGGGGCAAGGCCCAGTGTGATTTTCAGAACATTGCTGGGTAGGACGTCTTTGTAAATAATTTATTCTTGGTTGACTTAAAAAATGAACAACAATAATACATATAAGACTTGCTTACAAAATCTCAAAAAACAAAAAAATAAAATAAATTCATTGCTTACAACTGATTGCTTGATACATAAAAAACATTTCAAATCCTTATTAAAAAAGAAAAATGCCGACAAAACATTCATAAAGCACGTGGAAATAATCTTAAAATTGATTCAAGAAGTGGGCATAATTAAGCTTAATAACCTGTAGCAGGTGGGGGTGATTTATAAGTGTAGTATGGGTGAGATGGAAGAGTCTTGGATGGCGGAGGAGGTGATTTGTAGATATAAGGAGGTGGTGGGGATGGTGATGGTGGAGTTGGCGACTTGTAAACGTAAGGTGGGGGAGGGGCTGGAGAAGGTGGAGGTGGGGACTTATAAACGTATGGAGGTGGTGGTGAAGGAGATGGCGGAGGTGGAGACTTGTAGACATAAGGAGGAAAAGGTGAAGGTGATGGTGGGGGAGGAGATTTGTACTGAGTTGGAGGATGTTCTATGTGTTTAGGTGGAGGTGGAGACTTGTAGACATAAGGAGGAGGAGGTGAAGGGGATGGTGGGGGAGGAGATTTGTACTGAGTTGGAGGATGTTCTATGTGTTTAGGTGGAGGTGGAGACTTGTAGATGTGTGGGGGTGGCGGTGAAGGAGATGGTGGTGGTGGGGACTTGTAAATGTATGGAGGTGGTGGAGAAGGAGATGGTGGTGGTGGGGATTTGTACACGTATGGAGGTGGTGGAGAATGAGGTGGTGGTGGTGGTGGAGACTTGTAAACGTATGGCTGTGGAGGTGAAGGAGATGGTGGTGGTGGGGATTTGTAAACGTATGGAGGAGGTGGTGAAGGAGATGGTGGGGGTGGGGGTGGAGATTTGTAATAATTTGGTGGATGTTCTGCTTGTTTAGGTGGAGGTGGGGACTTGTAGATGTATGGAGGTGGTGGTGAAGGAGATGGTGGTGGTGGGGACTTGTAAACATATGGAGGAGGTGGTGAAGGAGATGGCGGGGGTGGAGATTTGTAAACATAAGGAGGAGGAGGTGAAGGAGATAGTGAGGGTGGAGATTTGTAGATATAAGGAGGAGGTGAAGGAGATGGTGGAGGTGGGGACTTATAAACGTATGGAGGTGGTGGTGAAGGAGATGGTGGAGGTGGAAATTTGTAGACATAAGGAGGAGGGTGTGATGAAGATGGTGGAGGCGGGGATTTGTAAACATATGGAGGGGGTGGTGACAGAACGAGTAGGTGGAGATTTGTAATAATATGGTGAGGGAGAAGACTTTACAGGAGGAGGTGGCGACTTATAATAGTATGGTGGATATTCTGATCGCTTTGGTGATGAGGGCGACTTCTTATAGTATTGAGGATACTGAAGATCCTTTGGCGGTTGTGGTTGTGGAGACTTGTGAAATTTATACCATGGAAATTCGAAAACTTTTGGTGGTAAGAGAGGCTTATCCTTGTTGGTATCGGAGTTGTAATTGTCTTTGGAGTATTCTTGTGTTGGTGATGGAGAACTATAAGGTGTATAAGCTACCACATTGGTTGCTATGAGTAAAACTGCCATAGCAAAAACCAAATGAGGCCATTGCCCCGGCTTTCCTAGGGTTCCCATTTCCCCCAATTGAAGCTTTTATTAAAAGACTTGGATGTTGATATTGAATGAACATATTTGCTACTCTTTATATAGTATTTTCTAAGTCTCCAAATCTAAAATTTTATTATTCTCTTATTTGTAATTGATGGGTTGCCACTAAGTATCTCTATTTTGATTATGAAAGGCTATGAACAGCAGCAACTCAGGCACGTATTTTCACATTTATCCATCATGAAATTGAATGATCTTTTTGCAAATTGCAATATTTTTTTTTTTTCTCTAGGATGTTGTATTATTGGGTAGCACGTTTGCGAAATTATACTTATGATATGAACTAAAGTTCTCATAAAAATTCAATATGGTATGAATTATAATATTTATAGCATATATAGTGGTATAATTTTATCTTTATTTTGACTTTACGGGGATCAGAGAATGAAGGATGTTAACCAGGAGGCAGAATCAATAAATTATTAAACAATTTTTTGTCTGTCTCATTTGACTAATTTTACATTTATATCCATATATTATCTTGTGAGACATTTGTTTTTATATTGCCTACTTGGCCACTCCTTCAGCTTATTACCCTTTGACAACCAAACAAAATTTCTAATAAATTTTTTTCTTATTAAAATGTCATTAACCAATATCAATTTTTAATTAAAAATTAATTACTACACAAACTATAAAGTAAATTTATTCTCGACACATACTAAATATAAAATTTGAAAATTGAAGAGGGGTAGTCTATATGGTTTATCTTTACACTATTTATATCATAAAAAAAAATTCCTTTTCAAAAGGGATATAAAAGTGCATTTAAGAAATAAAAAGAGGATTAAATATATATGATGTGTAATACTGAATCTTTTATCCTTCGCTATCTCACTTCTAAAATTAAGGTGATGAGTACATAAAACGAACAATATGTTATTTTACCGAACAAATATAGGAAATGTGTTTAAGTGTAAATAAATCCTAATTATATTTTTACAATTCTAAAACTTTATCACTAAGATTTAAATATATAGTTTAGTTATAATTTCTAGATAAATTAGACAAGGAATTTGCAGTTACAAGAGTTAAAGTCCAAAAAATCTAATAAAGTATCCCCGGATTTTTAGAGATTACTGGCAGGTAAATGTTAACAATTAATTACTTCAATTTTAACCAAAATCATTCACATTATCAAAAATAAATCATTACCATTATGGCTAATGTCGTTCATTCTAGTTAAACATGAAAGTTAAGTAAAACAATAATCTTAGTATCACAAACATCTCTAATTAATACCTCTCACTAACCCCATGTAGCAGCTCGTAATTGGCTTGATCACACAAGACCCATTGTTGGACAGACGGGACTCATGTGAGTTGACCAATTGCAAGCTGACATGTCGTATTTGTGAGAGAAAGTTAGTGAAAAGTGTTTGCGAGTGTAGTATTACTCTCTCACACCCACCAAGTGTTATAGTTAAGCCTATGAGCTCTCCTGTCTATCCGGCTGGTCTTTTGGGTTGTGCTATTTCTTGGGCTTGAGTTCTAACACAATATCAATTTAATGACATCAACCCAAAGGTTAGTCTCTGGAATACGCCCAAAGTCAGTATTCAACTATCCCTTTTAGAACTTAAGGGGTGATTTTTTTACCTATACAATCAAACTTTTTATCTCAAGTTTCATATCCTAATTGAAGTAAGGTAGTTTAACATATAACCATGTCAGCTATAAAATAATAACACATAACACATGACATAGAATACATAACTTAAAATATAAGTTAAGTACTTAGAAACTTTATGTTCATTTGTTCGTGAGTGCTAAACAAAGTAAAGCTCTAGCTTCAGTTTGTAAATGTAAGTCAATGTAAGGGTGTATCTGTAAGGTTTTAAAAGTAGCTTAATTTGTATTAAATCATTGAAACACTGTGTTTTAGAGCAGCATGAAACGAAGCATTTTCTACTGATTGGCTGAGTGTATAACAGCCCCTTCTTTCAGTTATTCGGTGATTGTTCAATTAGAAAACCAGTAAAGAGAATTGATTTCCTATCTTCTAGAGTCGTCTATTTTCTTCTTTCTTTTTCTTGATTCTGAAAACCTTCATGGTATCAGAGCCATTAGACCAACGTCAATGGTGATTGTTGATAATATTTCAGCTAAATTAGCCTTTAAATCAGACAATATGGATGCTGATTTCTTATTCTTCACAAATTCCAATATTCCACCCACATTACCATCCATTTCTGTCAAACTACTAGAGAAAAACTACACGTTTTGGCGATCACAAATCCTACCAGCTTTAATTTGACATGGATTGGAAGGATTTATCACTGGAGAGAAGGCCTGTCCTCCAATGTTCAGATTCGAGAAAGATGAGAGCTCAGAAACGACAGTCAAGAAACCAAATACATGCTATTTCAACCGGAAGAAAGTCGACCAATTTCTGGTGATTTGGCTTTTATCCACCATTTCTGAGTCTATATTTCAACATGTCTCAAAATGTAATACTTCGTATGAGATCTGAAATTTACTAGAACTGCATTTTCGTGGTGTATCTAAAGCTAGAACCCGTCACTTGAGAAACATGTTGCAGAACACTAAAAAAGATTCCCTAATATTAGTGATTATGTTCTAAAAATGAAAGAGTTAGGGGACAAATTGATAGCTAGTGGTGTAAATCTAAGTGACAAAGAGCTGTTACTTTACATATTGGACGGGTTAGGACCCGAATACGATGCCGTAGTAGCAAATTTAGTTGCAACCAGTAGTCAGAAAACTTTCCAAGAAGCACAATTCTTGCTTCATAAACATGAGATTAGGTTGGAGAGGCAGAGCAATTCTTTCACAAATCCACATGATCAGCTTGCTTTTGCACTATTAGCAGCTAAACAAAGCTCTATTGACTCCCCTGTTTCGGCTCAAAACAAGTCAGTCGCCCCTTTTAATGGTCAAAATCTAGTTGGTATATCTCCATAATGTCGACCTATGATCTCTCACTCAATCCCTGGAAATCCTCAATATAGTAATAACAATGTGCCTCAAGAAAGCTTCAAGCCTGATCTTAATACTCAGTTTGTACAGAATGGTGACTTTGTTAATCAGTTGACCTTCTCTGGTAATTTTGTGTATAATCCTTTCATGATGAAAAATAGAGGTAGAGGAAGGGGACATTTTCGACCAAGACTCATATGTCAAGTTTGTGGAAAAAGGGGACACTCTGCAATTCAGTGTTACCACCGCTTTGATTATAACTTTTAGGGCTTCATTAATTAGAATCAAGGGAATTTTATAAATCAAAATCCAGGTTTTATTAATTGTGGTTCATCACAAGGACAGTTTCAAAATCGGTCCAATGAATCACCCCAAGCTTTGTTGGCAGCAAAAATGCTTACTGTTCAATTTGTGCAAGGTTGTGCACCTTTATCCTTCAGTCACGACTATCCTAGTCATGGTGGAGCAAACTTTTCTCAGTCACCTGCGTATTACCAACAACCTCAGCAGTCTGTGTTATTTGGGCCTTATCACCAAACTGCTATGTTTCAACTAGAAGCTCCTGGTAGCAATGTTGCTAAAACCACTCAGAATAATAATCATTCAGTTCTTCAAAACAACATACCAATAGCCACACCACAAGTGCTTGCTGACCAAACATGGTATGTCGACTCTAGAGCAGCCGATCACATGACTACTGAACCAACCAACCTGGTGGTGAAAGACAACTATCAAGGTGGATCACAAGTCCAAGTAGGCAATGGCCAAACTGTTCCTGTTTCTCATATAGGTGAGTCTTTTCTAGCTTCCACTTTTTGTCCTAAATTACTTCACTTTAAGAAGATGTTGTGTGTGCTGCATATAGCTAAAAATCTATTGAGTATCTCACAAATAACTAGAGATAATGATGTTGTTGTGGAATTTTATTCTAATCACTGTGTAATAAAGGATAAAGCCACCAAAAGGGTACTTATTCAAGGACTCTTGAAGGATGGTTTGTATCAACTGCAATTATATTTTCCAACCACTGTCTCCCTCAATGATGAACAAGCTGCCTCTGTCTTTCTATCTCAAGCATCCAATGTTAGCTCTGATGATCTTGCTTCCACTTTAAAAAATAAAGTCACTGAAGCTCCTGCTGTTTCAGCAACCACAAGCAGTGAAAGTAGCTGCATTGGTTATAACAATTCTGATGTTAGAAATAGTAAGACCAAATTGTGGCATGCTTGGGGCATCCACAAGATAAGACTTTGAAATCTGTAATGAATAAAATGAATGTTTGTGGAAATTTTGGAAATAAGTTATCCTTATGTGAAGCATGTCAATTTGGAAAAATGCAACAAGCTTCTTTTCCCTTGTCCAGTTCTAAGACCAAAAGTCCTCTTCAAATAGTTTATTCAGACTTGTGGGGGTCTGCACCAGTATGTTCAACTGAAGGATACAAATATTATATATGTTGTTTGTGGATGATTTTAGCAGATTTGTTTGGATTTATCCATTAAAGTTGAAGTCTGAAGCTTTTACTGTCTTTTCTCATTTTCACTCTTTTGTTGAGAGACAATTAAATGCAAAATTAAAATGCCTACAAATTGATTGGGGAGGAGAGTTTAGGCCTTTCTCTAATTACCTACAAGCACATGGAATTACATGTAGACACTCTTGTCCTTATCTCCATCAACAAAATGGAAGAGTGGAAAGAAAACATAGAATTATAACAGAATTTGGGTTAGCACTTTTGGCTCATGCTTCAATGCCATTGTGTTTTTGGTGGCAAGCTTTCACTACTGCAATTATCTTATCAACAGATTACCCTTTGCATCTATTGAAGAAATGTCACCCTTTCAAAAACTATTTGAACATGAACCTATCTATGATGAATTTAGGGTCTTTGGATGTTGTTGCTACCCCTATATCAGGCCATATCAGAAGCATAAACTCTCTTATCACACTGAAAGATGTGTTTTCCTTGGCTATAGCTCAATTCACAAGGGGTATAAACGCTTATCCTCTTCAGGGAAAGTTTATGTTGTTAAGCAAGCTCAGTTTAATAAAGGTGAATTCCCATTAAAAAATGGTTTTAGATGCTCTTTGGTTAGGGATAAAGATATTTTTGACTTGATTGATGTTATTCATGGTTCAACCCCTTGGAATCTCTCCCATGTCGTTGATCTTATCCCATCTGCTAGAGTCACTTCAGCACCGAAGCCTAGAACTTGCCATCCTTAAAATGTCATCAACTCATCCTCAAATAACATAAACTCATCTCCAACACATGAAATAAATCCTCATACAGTATAAGAATCTGTCTTGAGACACTCAGAATCTGCTCTTCATAATTCTCAACAGCAGACACACCCAATGACAGATAGTTCAGAATTTAGCATCCTGCAGTCTGACTCAAATAATATTACTGATGTGCCTCATCTTACTCCCATGTCGTTGATCTTATCCCATCTGCTAGAGTCACTTCAGCACCAAATCCTAGAACTTGCCATCCTCAAAATGTCATCAACTCATCCTCAAATAACATAAACTCATCTCCAACACATGAAATAAATCCTCATACAGTACAAGAATCTACCTTGAGACACTCAGAATCTGCTCTTCATAATTCTCAACAGCAGACACACCCAATAACAAATAGTTCAGAATTTAGCATCCTGTAGTTTGGCTCAAATAATATTACTGATGTGCCTCATCCTACCTCTAATCATGACAAAGCCAGTACTAGTTCTACTGGAATTCAACTTGAAGTAATTCTCCCTATCACTAAACCTTCTACCTTACCAACTACCAATCATCATCCTATGATTACTAGATCTAAAAGGCACTTACCCGTATATCCTCCAAAGCAAGCCTTGTTATCTACTTTTCGCATTTTGGTTGAACTCAAATCTACCACAGAAGGTTTAAATGTTCCAGAATGGAAGGCAACAATGTAGGAAGAGTTTCAAGCACTTCAAAGAAACAATACCTAGAAATTAGTTCCTTATACTTCAGGTATGAACTTGGTAGGATGTAAATGGGATTTTAGAACCAAGTTAAAATCTAATGGCACCCTGCAAAAATACAAAGCAAGGCTGGTGGCAAAAGGATTCCAACAAACACCAGGCCTTGACTATTTTGATACCTTTTCCCCAATTATCAAACCTGCTACAATTCGAATTATGCTCTCCCTTGCTGTTCATCACAAGTGGGATATCCAACAAATCGATATAAACAATGCTTTCCTAAACGGTGACTTAAGCGAGACGGTGTTCATGATGCAACCTGAAGGGTTTGTTGATTTTACATATCCCAAGCATGTTTGTCAACTTCATAAAGCCCTATATGGTTTGAAACAAGCTCCTAGAGCTTGGTTTGATAAGCTAAAAAGTGCTCTTGTCTCATGGGGTTTTACCAATTCAGTCTTTGATACAAGTTTGTTCTTTATGAAGAGAGGTGCTCAAGTGATATATCTACTAGTTTATGTTTATGATATAATCATTACAGGATCTGAATCTTCTTTAATTTCTCAAATGATTGAAGATCTTCATCAGCAGTTTGCACTAAAACACTTAGGAGCCTTAAACTATTTCCTTGGTTTTGAAATACACCGCACTGATTCTGATTTACTTCTCACCCATTCGAAGTATGCCCAAGAGTTGTTGATCAAGGCTGGAATGCATGACTGTAAGCCGTGTACAACACCAATGGCAATGGGTATGAAGTTAGGGAAAGAGGATAGTGAGTTTTTTTTTATCAACCAACACTAGATAGAAGCATAGTTGGAGGCTTGCAATATCTCACTCACTCCAGACCAGATTTGGCCTATTCTGTAAATCGATTAAGTCAGTTTCTTCAGTCACCAACTGTGGCTCACTGGACTGCCTGCAAAAGGGTGCTTCGATACATTAAAGGCAGTCTCTAGCATGGGTTATTATTTAAGAGTAGCATTGATTTTCAATTAAAAGGTTATGTGGATGCAGACTGAGCTGGAGATGTGAATGATAGATGGTCTACTAGTGGATATGGTATCTATCTAGTGGATATGGTATCTATCTTGGAGGTAATTTGGTGCAGTGGAGTTCTAGAAAACAAAAAGTGGTGTCTTTGTTTTCCACTGAAGTAGAGTACATATCACTCAGCCAAGTAGCTACTGAACTTGCTTGGATCCAACACCTTTTTAAAGAAATTGACATTAAAGTTCGTAGAACTCCTGTACTCTGGTGTGACAATATGAGTGCAAGAGCCTTGTCTACCAATCCTTTTTTTCATGCCCGAACAAAGCACATCGAAATTGATGTGCACTATGTAAGGGAGCTGGCCACTGAAAAGAAGTTGTGTGTGCAATGTATCTCCACTAAATATCAAGTTGTTGATATTCTAACAAAGGCTCTCATTGGAAGTAGATTTCAGCTTCTTCGAACCAAATTGAATGTAGTATCCAGGTTTGATTCAACACCAAAGTTCAATACTCTTGAAAACAGCCCTACAATGTCTGCTTAAATTAAACAAGTTGCAGTTGATACAAATTAGTCAGAAGCTATTGATTTTTTTTAGTTGCAGTTTGTGAGATTGCAGCTTGTGAAGAATAATTTTGGAGCTATTGATTAAAGAAAATTTTTGCTATTGATTGACTACAGTTTGCGAAGATTAATTTTGGAACTATTGATTCTGTTCAGTTTGCAGTTCGTGAGACTGCAGTCTGTGAAGAAACATTTAGCTATTGATTGACTGCAGTTCGTGAAGATTAATTTTGGAGCTATTGATTCTATTTAGTCTGCAGTTCATGAGACTGTAGTCTGTGAAGAAATTTTTTGCCTACTCTATAGCTTCTACTTATCCCACAGGTACTAGAAAGTCTAGCAATTAGTAACTTGGAACTAATATGACAAAATTAGTAATAACGAAGACTGACGCCAAGGCTTTGTTCAAGAGAGGATATTGAGCAGAATGTTGTAACAAAAAGGCTGCCAAGGAAGTTTAGTTCAAGGGAAGATATTAAGAAGAATGTGGTAGAGAAGACTGCCAAAGAGGTTTAGTTCAAGGGAAGATGTTAAGAAGAATGTGGCAGAGAAGACTGCCAGGGAGGTTTAGTTCAAGGGAAGATGTTAAGAAGAATGTGGTAGAGAAGACTGCCAAGGAGGTTTAGTTCAAGGGAAGATGCTGAATAGAGTAAAGCTCTTGCTTCAATTTGTAAATGTAAGTCAAATGTAAGGGTGTATCTGCAAGGTTTTAAAAGTAGCTTAATTTGTATCAAAACATTGAAACACTGTGTTTTAGAGCAGCATGAAACACTGCGTTTTCTACTAATTGGCTGAGTATATTAAACCCTTTCTTTCTGTTATTTAGTGATTGTTCAGTTAGAAAATCAGTAAAGAGAATTGATTTCCTATCTTCTAGAGTCGTCTGTTTTCTTCTTTCTTTTTCTCGATTCTGAAAACCTTCAGTGAGAAATGGGGGAATGATTGACACCTACTAGAAAAATATACATGATCGACCATCATAAGAGAATGTAGTAACTTAGAAAATCTTAAAATAATAAAATAAAATAACTTTCATTGCTTACAACGTATGAATCCAGTACAAAGATTGCTTCGTACAAAATGAACTCACCAACTTAAACTCTTCATAATTCTGAAAACAATGAGAATGAAAACCATACATCGCAAATTCAAAAAGAAAATAGTTATTCTTGATACAATTCAAACAAATTCAAGAAGTGGAGGAAGGCTTAGTAGGCTTCTGGAGGTGGGGGTGATTTGTAGATGTAGTTTGGGTGCGATGGTTCAGTTTTCTTGGACGATGGAGGCGGGGACTTGTAGACATATCGTTTTGGGGGAGAAGGAGACGGTGGTGGAATGGACTTGTAGATGTATGGAGGTGGCGGTGATAGGGTTGGTGGAGGTGCAAATTTGTAGACATACGGTGGAGGAGTGAAGGAGATGGTGGTGGTGGAGATTTGTAAACATATGGAGGAGGGGGTGAAGGAGACGGCGGGGGTGGAGATTTGTAATAATGTGGTGGATGTTCTATGTGTTTAGGTGGAGACTTGTATATGTATGGAGGTGGTGGTGAAGGAGATGGCAGGGGTGGAGATTTGTAATGATATGGTGGATGTTCAACGTGTTTTGGTGGAGGCGGGGACTTGTAGATGTATGGAGGTAGTGGTGAAGGAGATGGTGGTGGAGGGGACTTATAAACATATGGAAGTGGTGGTGGAGGTGGAGATTTATAGACGTAAGGAGGAGGGGGTGTAGATTTATAATAAT